AGTCCTAAAACAACTTGTAATCAATAACCCTGTTTCTGTTTTAAAAGTTCAGTACTGAATGGACCTCAGTCTTTCATAGGAATTATAGGTTGATAAAGAGATCAACTGGTGGCAGTATGTTAAAGGGCATTTTGGGATAACTTCATGAGCTCTGGGTTTGGAGAAACAAGCAGGGGCCACGGGGTAAACATCACAGTATTGATAGCTGTTGTTTTGGGTCTGATCTATGCATACATGTAGAAGAAAAACAAGGATTTTTTTTAGAAAAGGAGTCCTAAGGCGGAAGAAGACAAAGCACAAACAAGAAATGATGCATGTTATTTTATAAATAGGGATGTGGTGACACTGTGGGTTAAACCGCAGAAGTCTCTGTGCTGCAAGGTCGGAAGACCAGCAGTCGTAAGATCGAATCCACGCTAAAGAGTGAGCTCCCACCGCTTGTCCCAGCTCCCGCCAACGTAGCAGTTCGAAAGCAAGTAAAAAATGCAAGTAGATAAATAGGTACCACCATGGTGGGAAGCATTCTGTGTCTAGTTGCGCTGTCCATGTCACCACGGAAACTGTCTATGGCCAAACGCTGGCTCTGTGGCTTGGAGACAGGGATGAGCACCGCCCCCTAGAGTCGGACACGACTTGACTATATGTCATGGGGAACCTTTACCTATTTTATAAATGGTCTTTTATAGCCCCCTAGAGTCGGACACGACTTGACTATATGTCATGGGGAACCTTTACCTATTTTATAAATGGTCTTTTATATACTAGAGTCAGACACGACTGGACTAAATGGTCTTTTATGTATGAAAAAGTTCCAAACTAGCACAAAAGTGAAGACTGATGCACAACCTCTGTCCCCCAATGTTCTAGTTTTTATTTGTAGGAATTATTGTATTTAAAAAGGTATCAGCCCCTGCAACATAAAGTATTGTGGTCCCTTCTGCAGGCTTCTGCCGTTCTGGTTCATAATAAACATTGTGCTGATTTCTGCGTGACGCGAACAACAGCTGTCACTCTGCATTTGCTTCAGCTAAGCAATCCGTGCTTCATTTTTGTTTCCAACCACAAGCATGCACCATATACTCTAACACATGAGAACATCTGACACACGTCTGTCAATGGTAACTGCTGTGAGCTTGATGACTATCACCAGTGATAGTCTCAGGAACAGGTATTCCATAGTGAATATCCTATTGCCTTAGGCTCAAGCCAATGAAAACACAGGAACTGCTTGGCAAGGCAACAACTTCATGCTGCCTTTTGGTTAGTCAAAGCAGAGAATGAAAAGAGCAGGTTAATGCTGCAATGGCATCAAGCAGCTAAAAAGGCAGCGTTACTAATCTAGTTCAATTCCTGCGTGCTTAGCACCACCACCACCTATTAATAGAACATTAGATGTTTTTGATATCATAAAGAATAACCTGAAAATATGAAATGCATCTTATGCGATGCATAGCTTTGCCATCACAGCACATTTTAGATAGACTGAAAGCTTTAACTTTAAAAAATAAATTTGCCCTTTAAAGATTAGCTACCCATGCTGGGAACTACTGTTTTTGCAGTATCTTTGCCAGTGATTAATTTCTCACACTGTTAATGAGTACTATATAATACTCGTATTCTGCTTAGGCAAGAGGTTCATTCTGAAATAACCATGACTGATACAATCTGCTCAGTCCATTGAACATATCCATGTATCACTGCATACACTAAAAAAGGAGTTTCTGAGTTCTGCTGCACCATTCATATGAGCAAAGAGAACGTAGATTAGGGTTATGTAGACAGAGCCATGCCCCACTGTCACTAACTTCCTGTTACTTTTAAGGGACAAATATTTTCCGTGTATACAACCTCCCCAATATATAAAACGACCCCCCTACTTTTGACCCTTGCTGGAGGCGGAGGAGCAGTTAATGGGCAACCGCTGCTCCTCCACCTCCGCCTCTCCTGCTGCTGCTTCCTCCGTTGTCCGGCCGATCACCTCCTCCAGTGGGACTGCTCTGCCTCTGCCTCCTGCTGTCTCCGCCACCAGAGGGGACAAGGCGGATGTGAGCTGGAGGTGAGCCCCGTCAGACCCACTGGAGGAGGTGATCAGGCAGGTGGGGGAGGCGGCAGCAAGAGGTGCCCAAGTGTGTGTGACTGCTCTTTTGCCTCCTTCTCTTGCTGCTGCCTCTGCCACCACCGTGAGCCCTGGAGGAGGCAATTGGGTAGCGGTGGCAGCAGCAGCAAGAGGCGCCCAAGCACGCATGTGACTGCTCCTTTGCCTCTGCCTCTGCTTCCTTCCGTGTATAAAGCAACCCTCAATTTTTTCCTCTAATTATTTTAGGAAAACGTGTCATTTTATACATGGAAAAATAAGGTAAATGGGTGACAATTTGAGCCATGGTTAAGAAGAGGGGATCACTGAAATCATCCTGAACTGGAGTTTGTAGAAGCTATTATTTCTTGGCTATATCTGTCAGAATCCTCAAGTCAGCCTGACCACTGCTTAGGGAATTCTACGAGGTGGATATACAGTCAGCAAAAACAAGACCTGGAGCTGACTGCGGTTCTGATCATCAGCTTCTCATAGCAAAATTCAAGCTTAGACTGAAGAGATTAGGAAAAACCACTGGGCCACTCAGGTATAATCTAAACCAAATCCCTTATGAATACACAGTGGAAGTAAAGAACAGATTTAAGGAACTAGATTTGGTGGACAGAGTGCCTGAAGAACTTTGGATAGAGGCTCGTAACATTGTCCAGGAGGCAGCAACGAAAACCATCCCAAAGAAAAGGAAATGCAAGAAAGTAAAGTGGCTGTCCAACGAGGCCTTAGAAATAGCAGAGAGGAGAAGGGAAGCAAAATGCAAGGGAGATAGGGAAAGTTACAGAAACTTGAATTCAGACTTCCAAAGAATAGCAAGGAGAGACAAGAGGGCCTTCTTAAATGAACAATGCAAAGAAATAGAGGAAGATAACAGAAAAGGAAAGACCAGAGATCTGTTCAGGAAAATTGGACATATTAGAGGAACATTTTGCGCAAAGATGAACATGATAAAAGACAAAAATGGGAGGGACCTAACAGAAGCAGAAGACGTCAAGACGAGGTGGCAAGAATACACAGAGGAATTATATCGGAAAGATTTGGATATCCCGGACAATGCAGACAATGTAGTTGCTGACCTTGAGCCAGACATCCTGGAGAGTGAAGTCAAGTGGGCCTTAGAAAGCCTGGCTAACAACAAGGCCAGTGGAGGTGATGGCATTCCAGTTGAACTATTTAAAATCTTGAAAGATGATGCTGTTAAGGTGCTACATTCAATATGCCAGCAAGTTTGGAAAACTCAACAGTGGCCAGAGGATTGGAAAAGATCAGTCTACATCCCAATCCCAAAGAAAGGCAGTGCCAAAGAATGCTCCAACTACCGTACAATTGCACTCATTTCGCACGCTAGCAAGGTTATGCTCAAAATCCTGCAAGGTAGGCTTCAGCAGTATGTGGACCGAGAACTCCCAGAAGTACAAGCTGGATTCCGAAGAGGCAGAGGAACTCGAGACCAAATTGCTAACTTGCGCTGGATTATGGAGAAAGCCAGAGAGTTCCAGAAAAATATCTACTTCTGCTTCATTGACTATGCGAAAGCCTTTGACTGTGTGGACCACAGCAAACTATGGCAAGTTCTTAAAGAAATGGGAGTGCCTGACCACTTTATCTGTCTCCTGAGAAACCTATATGTGGGACAGGAAGCAACAGTTAGAACTGGTCATGGAACAACTGATTGGTTCAAAATTGGGAAAGGAGTACGGCAAGGCTGTATATTGTCCCCCAGCTTATTTAACTTATATGCAGAATACATCATGCGGAAGGCTGGACTGGAAGAAACCCAAGCCGGAATTAAGATTGCCGGAAGAAATATCAACAACCTCCGATATGCAGATGATACCACTCTGATGGCAGAAAGTGAGGAGGAATTAAGGAACCTTGTAATGAGGGTGAAAGAGGAGAGTGCAAAAAATGGTCTGAAACTCAACATCAAAAAAACTAAGATCATGGCCACTGGTCCCATCACCTCCTGGGAAATAGAAGGGGAAGATATGGAGGCAGTGTCAAATTTTATCTTCCTGGGCTCCATGATTACTTCAGATGGAGACAGCAGCCCTGAAATTAAAAGGCGCCTTCTTCTTGGGAGGAAAGCGATGACAAATCTTGACAGCATCTTGAAAATCAGAGACATCACCTTGCCAACAAAAGTCCGAATAGTCAAAGCTATGGTTTTTCCTGTCGTGATGTATGGAAGTGAGAGCTGGACCATAAAGAAAGCAGACCGCCGAAGAATTGATGCCTTTGAATTGTGGTGCTGGAGGAGGCTCTTGAGAATCCCCTGGACTGCAAGGAGAACAAACCTATCAGTTCTAAAGGAAATCAACCCTGAATGCTCACTTGAAGGACAGATCCTGAAGCTGAGGCTCCAGTACTTTGGCCATCTCATGAGAAGAAAAGAGTCCTTGGAAAAAACCTTGATGTTAGGAAGGTGTGATGGCAAGAGGAGAAGGGGACGACCGAGGATGAGATGGCTGGACAGTGTCTGCGAAGCAACCAACATGAACCTGACACAACTCCGGGAGGCAGTAGAAGACAGGAGGGCCTGGCGTGCTCTGGTCCATGGGGTCACGAAGAGTCGGACACGACTAAACGACTAAACACACAAAGAAGGGATGTTTCTTCCTCTTCCAATGTGCCTATTAGTCTTTTGGTAGGCTGGTGAATAATAGTAATAATAATAGCCCAGAAGATTTTTCAGTTTTATAAAATGCTTTCTGACTTATTTCATAGCTTCACATTGATAGACATTGAGTTGTGTCACTTATCCTTTATGAGATAGGTTAAACTTGGAGATTGTCCCTCACTCACTGAGCTCCACAGCCGAGTGGAGATTTGAACCACTATCTACTGCAATGCTTGGTTTTCAGTGAGTTGTGGTAAAGCACAACCACATGGAAATCACTTCAAAAGTACAAACATTATTGGATTCTGTGTCTAAAAAACCAGAAACAGGTCCATATAAAGCAAGGAAAGCAAGGAATGCTTAGGCTAATGGTTGTTTTCTCATGAACACATACAAGTCTTGAGCAAAAATAGCACGTTGTCACTTTGAGGTACTAGAAAACAAGTGATGCTGGCTAATGATGAATAGATGACCTAGCAAGCCATTTTGTTTAGGAAAATCCCACTTTCTTTCACATAATGAAAGCTTCAGCGTGCTGATCTGTTATGTGCCCAGTCCAAGCCTTTGATATTCTGAATCCTTTTCAGGAGACAGAGAGTACAAATGTGTACTAACTGAAGCCGGGCCTGGGGCATCAAGACACCTCAGAGACATTATTTATTCTGGGTAGTGAGAACCAATGCATTTTGTTTTATATGTAGAATGAGTCGATTGCTGTTTGTGAGGTATAAACTAGGTAACATAACTTTGCCAGCTAAAAATGGGGAGACCACAGTCCTGCAGACATTACTGAAATATAACAGGATTGCAGTAGCCATGGGGGGGGGGGTTGGTTGGTTCCAAGGTCCCCCACGAATGCTGAATATCGCAGATACGCAAACCCTGTATACAGCATCTTTGGCTCTCTCTAGTGGTCAGTTATGGTAACACATCTTTAACAACTGTATTCCTGGTTTTTTAAAAAATATTTTCAAACAGCAGATAACTGAAACTGCAGGTACTGATCTTGTAGATACAGTAGTCCTACTGTATGCTAGTCTAAGGCGGAGGGGTGATTGGTACTGTAGTAGAACAACAATTTGGAAGGTCACACAAGTTGCACATCCCTGTCCTACAACTACTTTGGTTAAAAAACCCGACCTAAATAATGAAGTTAGCCCTACTGGGCAGCATACAGAATTTTAAGGAGATTTATGAAGTCAGTGTTTTGTCTGTTGGGGCAGGGGGGGGGGTTTAAAGTGCAAGAGTAGGAAAAATATCACCGAAGCTTTGTTTTTAATGAAATGCTTCAAAAAATATTTCCTGTTCATAAAATTTGTTGTGTAAGATGGAGGAAAAATCTGCCTCATCCAGGAAATTCCTTTTCCCTTGCAAATAAACACTGCCAAAAATGAACATAAATGGGTAAACAATTCATACTTGGCTGGCATGAATGATAAGCAACTGGTTTATTTATTTATTTTGCTAAAGGCTAACTAGTGCCAGCTTAAGCTGGCCTTCCAGCGCCTTAAAATTTCTCCCCCCCTCTTGCAATCACTAAAAATAGGTTTCTACCATAGCAACCCCCTTACATCACAAATGCCAACTCAGAAATTCAGCAAGCTACTCAGAGCATCTATACATATATAAGCCAGATGCAATCTACTGCTGCAATATTAGAAGATTTTAACAAATACCTTTCTAATTAGGAGATCCCAACCATTTACATTCAGACCAATAATCTAGATTATTCAGTCTAGACAGGCATATGCTCTTTACTTTAAAGAGGATAAAAATATGATGAATGGGAAGGATTTATAAGATACCCCTTAACATTCTTTTCCAAATGGTTAATATAATATGACTGCAGATACAAAATTATGCAAAACTTCAGATAAAGCCATAAGAACAGGAAAGTTAATTAGTCAGGTTCAAGCTGCATTAAAAAGGTTGAATGTTTAAATCCTAGTTTTGTGCTTTTATAATATTCCCATATTGGGGAAGACCAAAGACAGAAACAGTGAAGATGAATGACTGTTTAAAATACAGCAACTACATGCCAGTATTTTATCTGATTTTCAGAATCCTCACAAATAGTTTTTGTTGTATTTATTTCTATCACATTGAGCAAAACTCACCTTTATGTGCTAGGTGACATAAGTCCTCTTGCATTTTAGAAAATTCTGCTGTTGTTTCAGAATCATTAGAATAAATTTTCTCTTCACCAAAATCTAATGTAGATAAATTGGGATTGGAAGCATGCAGTCTCAGTGGAGCAGAAAGAACAGTTGGTACCTGAAAACAACATGAACCAGTCTTCAGTGTTAATATAAAAGCTTCCAGGAGTCAAAGATTTAGCAGGAGAGACAAGAACATTAATCTGAAAGAGGCTATTAATGTGGAAATCAGGAGGTAAAAATGTACAGAAATACTTAAAGCGTATATTAATGGTTTGGAATTCCTGCTTGTGTAATTAAAGTGGTGTTATTTCATGCAATTTGCCCATTGTACCTTGATAGCTCTCCTTCCTGCAGTTTCTAATTCCGATTATTCATAAAGATGATGCTAGGCTAGTGTTTCCATGAAAGCATAATCTCTTTCTTTAACTCTCTGTTCCAATATCACTCTTCAAACCAACTTCAAGTTTCTAGTCCTTGCAATGAAAACTCCCACTTGGCGTCCATGATAGAATCTTTCTAAATCCTTCTCTCTCTTTTACACCAGCTGGTTTGCTAGCAATCCTATTCTATGGCACAAACTTCCTAATGCATAAAACACCCTCCTGCTCTCCATTGGTCAAAGTTCTTCCACGTCTACACTCAATATTGACATTTTGGTGCAAAATGTTTCCTGAATAATCCTAACATCACTGTACATACCTTTACCCCCATCTGATTATCCCCTTCACTTGACTTCTTCCTTCCCTTGATTTATCAATTTATTTTAAAAAATCGGTTTGGCCAGTTCTCCACCTCACATCAACTGGACAAACCAACTTACAACCAAAATGTTAAACACAAGCAAATGCTGTTCTTTTTGTGGGCCTAACTCAAAAACTTATCTAGCATACTGTTAACATGACATCAACCTTACATAGGTAAAAATACTGTTGGATCTGCACTAGAATTTCATGTGCATTTTTAAAAATGGAGGATGATTTTAAGGTAGCCATTAAATATGTTGTAGCAATCATACTAAACATCAGTTAGGTCATGTTTAAAAGGTGAGACTATCAAGAAACACTTTTTCTGTTCCAGGACTATAATCCACTGTTGACTATTGATCTACGGTAATTCTTTCACTGCAAGGACAGATCCTGAAGCTGAGGCTCCAATACTTTGGCCATCTCATGAGAAGAGAAGACTCCCTGGAAAAGGCCCTGATGCTGGGAAAGTGTAAAGGCAAGAGGAGAAGGGGACAACAGAGGATGAGATGGCTGGACAGTGTCATCAAAGCTACCAACATAAATTTGACCCAACTCCGGGAGGCAGTGGAAGACAGGAGGGCCTGGCATGCTCTGGTCCATGGGGTCACGAAGAGACGGACACGACTGAATGACTAAACAACAAATTCCTTCTTGCTGTTCTCTCTCCTAAGCCCATTCAAACATTCTGCCGTGGTTGAGAAAATCCCACTTTAATGAAGGCAGGGTGGGAGTTCCTTATTAGGCACTCACTTGAAAGGTTGTGCTTCAAGTCTTTACTGAATCGTTTTGCTGATTCCAGGGACTAGAAGTATGGAGGAAGAGAAGAGAAGGAGTGGGGTTGCTATGCTGGTGGTGCACATTCAGAACACCCCAGTATATTAGAGGTTGCTTGCATTTGACCAGTCCAAAACACAAATGAAAGCATGCATGCATGCATGCATGCATGCATAAATAAATAAATAAATGGTTAGTTAACTGGACAAACAACAGGCAAATATTTAGTGTTCATATTCTGGAACTACAACAAATCATAAATACTGTTAAGTGCAATAAGTGCAGGAGAGCTCCAGATGATTTCCAGGAACTTTCCAGAATACCATGTCAGTTGGAACTGACTCCAAGGAGGACCTGGTTGTGATTTCTGCCAGCTTTTGTTTGCAAACATACTGACACCTTTCCTTTAAAAACGTTCTGAGGCTGAGTTCTCTGAGGCACATATGGAACCTTTTCCCAGCAGATGGTGCCTCTAGGAAGGATGTACTGTACAGACAATACAGGCTGGAGTCCTATGCCTCACAGACCGGGATGCTTCAGCCTGCCTGCTATGACAAGGCCCCCACAGATATTGCACATGGCTGAGAGATAGCCCAGGCCAATGGCAAGATGGCAGGCTCTTGTCTGCGAACAGCTTTGGCAGGCATATCTGTACTTATTACGGAAAACCTCTCTTACCATTATATACTCCTAAATGTGCCCAAAAAGCCTTTAAAAAAGTAACACTTGCTTTTGTTCCCCACTTTTGTCTCAGGAAGGAGCAGCATGTCTTGTAGACCACATATTAGCCACACAGTGATTTGGTACATCTTATGAACTCTATAACATGCACACATATACTGTACATCTTAACATGTGAGTATATTAACATCTTATGAACTCTATAACATGCACACACATACATCTTAACATGTGAGTATATTGTAGTATGCAGGTTAAATTGAAACCAATCAACAGTAAGTCCAGCTCAAGGGGATTACTTCCCTTGCATTTACATCCTGTGGCCTCATCTCCCTAGTAGGCAACCTTCTCCATTCCTTTGATGCTTCCAGCACATGGTCGGGACATCTGAAAATGGCCAGTAGGAGAAACTGAGCTGTGATGTTTAAACTGGGGAATAAGGTGGAAGTAGAAACCTCCAGGGACACTTAGAGGAGGCTAGGCCTGCTGCAACAATCAAGGTTTTCCACAGAGCAAAGTGCTCTTATTCACAACATAGCAACCACACAAATATGAAGCAGCAGCACAAAAGGTAGTGGCTAGTCACCCAAGGGTGCTTCTGGATTTTCTATAGAACGTTTTAACTGCAATATTAACCACAAGAACCTCAACTACAGCAAAAATATTTGACCAGCCAATTGATCAGTCAGTAGGTCAGTCCTACTGCATGTATAAAATCTGCCTTAGTCTGAATCAGATTCATAGTACAACCCTAGTCCTTTTTTTTCCATGAAGTCACAGCTTCTTTCTTAGGATTAAGAGAGGAAGAGTTCTTTCCCACACCCCTAACGAAGATCCCTGTTATTTGCCTGACAATATGCACACAATGTGTGTGCTCTACCACTGTGGCTTTTGGAGCACTACTGCACTTAAAAACTCAGGATCAAACTATACATTACAGGCAACTTATCATTAGAGCTGAAATCACATGAATGTTCAAATGATGTGATTCAGACAGCTTTCTGTGTCTTCGCAAACAAGCAACATGCTTATGTCGTGAAAACCCATCACAAAGCACAGCATCTGCAAATTAAGAAGAGTAAGGAAAACTCCTGCTGTGATAATCATACACAGTAATCACTTAAGGCATTCCTCTCATAATGAGGGGTTATCTACAGCATATAGTTCAGCGTTCATCAGCCTAAATAAATGTGCACTCCCCAGATGGAAGAATCATTTATTATGTTGTTAAAAGTTCAGCAGATGAAAGATTCAATGATCTGTTTAATACAGTACTCCCTGCTGTACACACTGCTTATACCAGCAGAATGAAATCATCATCTGGCCTAGATAGCTGTTACTAAGCCTATCAATTACACTGAGGAAATGAGTTTTCACTCATACAATATTTTTAGGCTGAGTTGGGGGGAGGGGGAGAGGCTGTTTACCTGTAACATTGCTTTAGCTTCTTTGCCAAGCGCTCGGGAACGCCATCTTCTATGTGCTCTTTTTTCCTTTTTGGGACTTTCAAATGGGATGGCCTTTAGCAGACACATGGGAAAAAAAAGAGAAAAGTGCTATTTATCTCAAACCTAGAAAGAAGGCTAACATGAGGTAGCAGCAGGAGCTCCTCCCACCCTCAGCCCCCTCCCCTTCCAAGTAGCAATTTCCATAACTAACCTGCATGGCATTTATTGCAGGGGCTGAATATGTCCTGTGGAGAACTTCCATGCTTTGCAAAAGCTGGCTCATTTCTAAGAGATAGTTATGACAGTGAGAGAGGTCTGTTCGAAAAACAAAACAAAACCAAAACAGGGTTTCAGTGGCTTCATAAGAAAAGAGAAAGACTGACAGACAGACATTCTGTCAGCACAGCTTTTTATTATAATGGATTACTGGATAATTCAGTAACAGGCGTAAAGAATGTGAATGATTTTCGAAGGCTTTCACAGCCAGGATCCGATGGTTGTTGTAGGTTTTTTGGGCTGTTTGGCCATTTTCTGGAAGTTTTTCTTCCGAATGTTTCACCAGTCTCTGTGGCCGGTATCTTCAGAGGACAGCAGTCAGAACTCTGTCTGTGCTCTGGTGCACTTTGTGGGATAGTTGAATATTTATAGCTGTGGGATCAGCTTTTTGTCCTTTCCAGGGGACTGGGTGATTATAGGGATCAGGGTGTTTTTTTGTTATGGGAGGATTGTTGTGATACGGGAGGATGGGTGTATTGTTGTGATAAGGGTGTATGGGTGTATTGTTGTGATAAGGGTGTATGGGTGTATTGTTGTGATAAGACCAAAAAATACAACATCCACATTAGAATTAAAGAACATGAAAGCCACTGCAGACTAAAACAACTGGAAAAATTGGCAGTAGCCGAACATGCCCTTAAACAAGCTGGACATGAAATCCTATTCCAAAACACAGAAGTACTGGACAACACCAGCAAACATTATGTTAGACTGCACAGGGAAGCCATTGAAATCCACAAACATCAGCACAGCTTCAGCAAACAAGAAGAAAGTCTAAAACTCCACAAAGCCTGGCTCCCAGAAGGGAAAAATACAGCCTGCAAAAAGGCCAATGAACTCTATCCAGCCACTGCACACAAAAGACTAGCTAACGACACTCATCAATCACAGTGACAGATCATCTCTCCCTTTATCACAACAACACACCCATAACAAAAAACACCCTGATCACCATAATCACCCAAACTCCTGAAAAGGACAAAAAGCTGATCCCACAGCTACAAATACTCAACTATCCCACACATTACACCAGAACACAGAGTTCTAACTCCTGTCCTCTGAAGATGCTGGCCACAGAGACTGGTGAAATGTTAGGAATAAAAACTTCCAGAACACAGCCAAACAGCCCGGAAAACCTACAACTGTGAGGGCCAGTTGCCTCCATTGCAGACAGCATTAGAAAAATGTCAACATGGATAATCCCTTATCTTTAGTATGATAATGTCGTCTAATTCTTACTGTTTTTATTGTAATTATTATTTATTCTAAAAGCATTCTAATAATTATCATTCATCTGGAGTTGTCTATTAAGAAAACGCAATGGATGAGGGTCTAATAAATAAGTGAAGTAATAAAACAGAGCTAGTGACATAAACAAACCTAGAGATGCTCAAGCCAAGCTGTGTTGTGGGGCTAGCCCTTCACACACTGTTTCCAGAACACACAACTCTCCCATTCATACATACCCCATTAAAATTAGCTTTTAAGACATCTATGGGGAATTTCTCATCTGTGAGTCTAACACCAGCTGCAAGAGGTCGCCCCCATTAAAGCTGCCTGTTTCCTCCTAAACTGTTCTCCTATCAGTGATAGGATAGAAGAGATTTAACTTCTTCCTTCCAACATTGAAAAACAATACTGGTATAAATGGAGGTCTTTTAAAATCTAATGTAAAAGCTTAGGCACATTTAAGGGAGGGGCACATTGTCAAGAGAAAACCTAACCCTCCCCCATGACTGTGAAACCCCCACTATCACATCTCACATGCTGTTAACTTTCTAAAAAACCAGCTGGTGTCCAGTGAAAGTGCTTACCCAGATAGCAGATGGGATGTGGGTATGCATATATGGGATCCTAGCAATCAAATCAGAGCTGCATACCATCAGTGGGGGAGCCTTACCTTCCTCCCTCCATTCGGCTGAAATCCAGTAGTAAGACAGTACAAGAATACACTCATTAGATCAGTGGGGATTTGGTGTGTCTGCTCTTCCATAGGTTCCATCGATTCGATGAGCTACTCTAGTCACAACTTACTACTGGATTTGAGTCACTCTCCTCCTCCCCATTTTATTCTCACATGCTAAGTACACCCTGTTGCATGTTCTCCACTCCGCCCCCTGCATATTCTATGGAAGAGAAATTGTTGGCCAAAGACTTCTTTAAAATCTCCATAAATTATTTATTATATTTATATGCCACTGCCCAGTAATAAGAACAAGAATATCAGAGGAGAATGGGCAAGCTATTTTAGTTTGTAAGTCTTTCTCCAAGCTCCATGAGAGCCAGAAGGAATCCTATAAAAAGTTTTCCTTCCCACTGGGCACCCATCCTATGCAAAGCTAGCTTTCCACAATTTTCTACCCTCAATCTATTCACCAACACTTCCTCAAAAGGAAGGAAAGGATATCAGACTTCGTAACTGAATGTCAGTAACCTGAGTTCAGAATTCAGTCCTTTAAAGCTGAAAAAAAAAAACTCACGAGGCAGGCAATCAGTTCAACTTCAATACGATTCCTGTGGCTGCATGGTGAATATTGCATGAAGACCACTATGTTACAGAGAACTGTCCAAATACATTTTGGAAAACAAAAATAACTCGAATGTTTGTAACATTGCAAGAAAATCTACCTTTTGAGCATCTTTCCATTTCTTCAGAAGACTCCAGCCAAGATGGAAATCTTGACTCATTAGCTGAACACAAGAATGATAAACTACTTCCCGTCTGTACTGAATTCTGTTGGGTCAGGCTGCCTCTCTGTTCCACAGAGACAAAAGTTCATTATTAATCAGTATAAATTTAATCACAAAAAAATCAAACTGTTTCTCAACTCTTTACCATGCACCAATACCACTGGAAGAGTATGACAGCTCTCAGAAATTAACTGCCTTCCAGATATTTTGTACTGTATTGCAGTTCTCACTAGCCCTCACCAGTAAGGCCAGTGGTGAGAACACATGGGGGTTTCAGCTCAAAATATCTGGAGAATACCAGCCTGGAGAAAACCAGTCTATCATGATCTAGCAGCCAAACATGGGGGTTTGAGAAAAAGAACCCCACTTTGCTTCATTTCAAGCTCCACCAGTAAGACCACTGGGTGGCCCTGATGAAGACCTTGTCTGAGCCTAAATTACCAAAGCTATTGAGAGAACAACAGAATCAAGAAGATAAATCATTTGAGTGAAGAGAAGAAAGTGAATAACTAGAATGATAATTAGAAGGACCACAGTACATATGGTACCCTACAAAGGAAAAAAAAGAGCTCTTATCCAATCCAGAAATGCCACATAAAAGTATGAGGAGAAACATTACATTTTTCTTGTAAGAAATTTCCATGGAGGTGGGGCATGCTACTCTGCTGCAGGAAAAATGACAGAGTCTTGGGACATCTCCAAGTCTGACAAATTTTATTTGGCATAAGCTTTTATGGAGGGCAGCCTAATTCAACAGAAAACCTGATGCAGAGCACAAAATCTCATGCTAGATAAACGTAGTATCTCAGGGTTCTTTTTTTCAATTAAAAATCCCTAAAAACCGTGTTGACTTTATCTATTGCCTTGATTGTAATGCTCTTGTGATGTTTTATATGTTCTCTTTTGGAGCATTATTTCATGTGTTTTCTACCATGTGGCTAGAAAAGGCACAACTTTTCTTACCAATTTCTTACATCTGCTAGAACAGGAAGAACGACAATGACATGATGTTTCTGATAATGGTTTTTCTGCCACTTATTGTAGCTGTTTCTCAAAGATCACCCACCAAGTACATTCTATCTCTATATTCTGTATACAGAGATCAGATCAAATTGATCCCAGAAGGGAGACCAATACATATAATTCGTATGGTTTATACCTTTCTGCTCCCTGTGGATTCCAAAAGGCCACCTACTGAGTCCGTAACAGATGATGATGCTGGGAAGAAATGATTGTTGATATCATGTGGAAACATGGAAATTTCATTCTGACGATACATTCTATGATGACGAAGCTTTGTTACCCACTCATCAAAGACATCCTGAGATTTTGCCTAGAAAAATATCGAAGTTACAAACAAAATAATTAAATCCTCTTAAGTTACTTGTAGTTGTTACAATTGGATTGTAAGATCACATTTATTTCTCTTCACTAGCATCAAAATAAGGTCACCATTGGTTGGAAGAGACTTGATACATAACAAGAACAGTGTCAAAATCATTACTGTCACCAAAGCAGATGTGGTCAACATCTGATTCTGCAGATTTCCAATCACAGAATCACCAGCCAACATAAACAACAGAGAAGAATAAGGAAGCTGCAGTCCAAGAACATCTGAAAGTGCAGAAAGGGTATCTATAACAATAGGGCAAACCTATGTTGCCCCTAAGGTTTATACTCTTATACAGGACAGATGTTTTGTTGGAGGAGATGGAAAGGACTTTTCCTGGTGATGCCCTGGGAACTCAATTCTCCCTTTAAGCATTAGTGACAGGTTTATGGGACCTGGGACAGGGCAAAAGGTATAAGCATTCTGGTTAAACAAGAGCATGGACCATACTTTGTCTCCTGTTAGAATGTTCCAAATAGCCAGTCAGTCAGCAGGAAAGGATAAAACTTAGTAATCAGTTCATTTTTCTAATTCCCAGTTGCTCTTTTTGCATGTTTTGGGGAGCTGTGTTATGGAGAAGCAGAAATTTAGATACAAATGAACACTCATTCATTTGATATAGACAAGTCATAGTTGAATTTTCAGATCAGAGACTTAGATCTAAAATGGCACCAAGGAGCCTCCAATGAAAAAAATCCTTCCATTTTGTCCTGTATGGCAGTGGCCCCCAACCTTGGGCCTCCAGATGTTTTTGGACTTCAACTCCCAGAAATCCTGGCCAGCAGAGATGGTGGTGAAGGCTTCTGGGAGTTGTAGTCCAGGAACATCTGGAGGCCCAAGGTTGGGGACCACTGCTGTATGGGATACTGTATGACTCTATTGCTACCCCTTTTGAGGCTATCATACACATTCTATAGCTTCACCTCTACAACCAGAGCTAAATACAAATTTAAGAACCACCGTCTTAAGACATTGGTTCATTAAAAGAAAATGTACAGCTAAAGGCAAAGCAATAATTCTGTCATTAAGACTACTATGATCACAAAGCCCAGTTCCAAATACTTAAACCTGCACTTTGATTGTACATAACTTAGTAACCAGACTTTTGAAAGTCATGGGACAACAACAGTGTGAGAAGTGGCAATTTGACTCATCTTAACTACACACATACTAATGAGAGGCAAAAGGGTCTCTAAATCACACTGTAATTGCTCCAAAGTTAAGCAAATCTTCCACCGCTTCCGTTTTCTAGAACACCAGGATACATTATGCTACACTATAGGTGCATTATAAAGCAATAATTGCTTAATAAATAATATAACTGATTCCATACTTTGGACAAATTACAATTAAAAGCATGTTTAGCAATTAAACAATAGGCACCAATTTTCTTCAAGGCTGCTTCCCATATGAACACAGAATAAATGATGTATTTATAGCTAAATCTGACACTTTGGATTCAAACTTGGGGTTAAAAAAATTTAAAAATCCAATTGACACATATTTTTATTTCATTCATTTCATCAAACAGTAGTTAAACAATATAAATAAATTACAAATACATGCCCATGTTAAATATAAAAGTGAATATAAAGTAAAAGCAGCCAATGAAGCCAAAGGCAAACTGCATTTTAAATACAGTAGTTTCTACAGGTTTTTCAGCACATTCAAAGAACCATCTAAGTTCAACACAATTGCCATCACAGAATATACCCTCAGAATTACCTTCAAGTGATAAATGTGTTCTTCTGTATCCAGATCAACACACTTTGTTGATTTCTTCACTGACATCACTGAAAGACCAACGTCTATGCATCCATGCAGTTTCCCTCTTTCTATCTGCCGAGAAACATTATAACATAAATTTCACAATCCTTTCTTTCTCCTTATAGATATCTAGTCTGGAAACAACCCCTTCCTTCATTAAAATGTGAAGCAGTGACCACATTAATTCATGTGTCAACAGTGTGCGATATATCCCTTCAAGGTACTTACATCGGCAGAACCCTTTGCATACTTCAGAATTCCTTTGTCCAGCAAAAAGTACCTCTGTAAAACAGAGACAACTTTTGAAGTGAGAAGGCACAAGGTGCAGCAATGGTTTTTAAGTCTTAGGGAGCTGCAATTCTCTTCCACACAATCCCGTAACCTGGACATTGGGTCCAGGAACATTAATTTTAACAATACCAAACCGCCGTGAGGAGCATTCATGTCTCACCTTGTGCCAGCCCTTCAGAGGCCATTTCCTCTTCTTCAGCAGGTAGCCTTCCTGTTTTTGTGGTTCCTGAGTGTAATTCATGGCTCCCCGCAGACCTTCCACAATTTCCCAGCTGTCCTGTTTGAAGACATGAGCCAAAACATGTGATGGCTTTTCCCCCCCTTTGCAAAGTGAAAAGACCGACTCAAAAGGAAGACAGAAAATAAACACAAGATCAATCTTCCTGAATCCATGTAACCTGAAGCATTTAGATTTAAGGTGACAACCTCCAACAGGCTCCTGGCTTCAATTGAGTTACTTGAGTCCAATTGAGCTGTGACTCAGGCTGCTATTGTAGGAAGACAGAAGAAACACGTATAAACAAAGTCATTGTAGTGTTAACATAGGCTGTATGAAGAAAAAAAATTAGTACAAATCTGAGCATATTGCCTCATTTTCAGAGTGAAATCAAGTAAATGGATATACTCTTATACAGGACAGATGTTTTGTTGGAGGAGATGGAAAGGACTTTTCCTGGTGATGCCCTGGGAACTCAATTCTCCCTTTAAGCATTAGTGACAGGTTTATGGGACCTGGGACAGGGCAAAAGGTATAAGCATTCTGGTTAAACAAGAGCATGGACCATACTTTGTCTCCTGTTAGAATGTTCCAAATAGCCAGTCAGTCAGCAGGAAAGGATAAAACTTAGTAATCAGTTCATTTTTCTAATTCCCAGTTGCTCTTTTTGCATGTTTTGGGGAGCTGTGTTATGGAGAAGCAGAAATTTAGATACAAATGAACACTCATTCATTTGATATAGACAAGTCATAGTTGAATTTTCAGATCAGAGACTTAGATCTAAAATGGCACCAAGGAGCCTCCAATGAAAAAAATCCTTCCATTTTGTCCTGTATGGCAGTGGCCCCCAACCTTGGGCCTCCAGATGTTTTTGGACTTCAACTCCCAGAAATCCTGGCCAGCAGAGATGGTGGTGAAGGCTTCTGGGAGTTGTAGTCCAGGAACATCTGGAGGCCCAAGGTTGGGGACCACTGCTGTATGGGATACTGTATGACTCTATTGCTACCCCTTTTGAGGCTATCATACACATTCTATAGCTTCACCTCTACAACCAGAGCTAAATACAAATTTAAGAACCACCGTCTTAAGACATTGGTTCATTAAAAGAAAATGTACAGCTAAAGGCAAAGCAATAATTCTGTCATTAAGACTACTATGATCACAAAGCCCAGTTCCAAATACTTAAACCTGCACTTTGATTGTACATAACTTAGTAACCAGACTTTTGAAAGTCATGGGACAACAACAGTGTGAGAAGTGGCAATTTGACTCATCTTAACTACACACATACTAATGAGAGGCAAAAGGGTCTCTAAATCACACTGTAATTGCTCCAAAGTTAAGCAAATCTTCCACCGCTTCCGTTTTCTAGAACACCAGGATACATTATGCTACACTATAGGTGCATTATAAAGCAATAATTGCTTAATAAATAATATAACTGATTCCATACTTTGGACAAATTACAATTAAAAGCATGTTTAGCAATTAAACAATAGGCACCAATTTTCTTCAAGGCTGCTTCCCATATGAACACAGAATAAATGATGTATTTATAGCTAAATCTGACACTTTGGATTCAAACTTGGGGTTAAAAAAATTTAAAAATCCAATTGACACATATTTTTATTTCATTCATTTCATCAAACAGTAGTTAAACAATATAAATAAATTACAAATACATGCCCATGTTAAATATAAAAGTGAATATAAAGTAAAAGCAGCCAATGAAGCCAAAGGCAAACTGCATTTTAAATACAGTAGTTTCTACAGGTTTTTCAGCACATTCAAAGAACCATCTAAGTTCAACACAATTGCCATCACAGAATATACCCTCAGAATTACCTTCAAGTGATAAATGTGTTCTTCTGTATCCAGATCAACACACTTTGTTGATTTCTTCACTGACATCACTGAAAGACCAACGTCTATGCATCCATGCAGTTTCCCTCTTTCTATCTGCCGAGAAACATTATAACATAAATTTCACAATCCTTTCTTTCTCCTTATAGATATCTAGTCTGGAAACAACCCCTTCCTTCATTAAAATGTGAAGCAGTGACCACATTAATTCATGTGTCAACACCAGGCTGGGCAAGGGTCCAAGGAGGAGGTTTTGATACAATGGATGTATTTGAATGCAGTGATAATCCCAAGGAACTTTTCCCCCCCTTTGCAAAGTGAAAAGACCGACTCAAAAGGAAGACAGAAAATAAACACAAGATCAATCTTCCTGAATCCATGTAACCTGAAGCATTTAGATTTAAGGTGACAACCTCCAACAGGCTCCTGGCTTCAATTGAGTTACTTGAGTCCAATTGAGCTGTGACTCAGGCTGCTATTGTAGGAAGACAGAAGAAACACGTATAAACAAAGTCATTGTAGTGTTAACATATGCTGTATGAAGAAAAAAAAATGAGTACAAATCTGAGCATATTGCCTCATTTTCAGAGTGAAACCAAGTAAATGGAACACATATTTTGATACAATGGATGTATTTGAATGCAATGATAATCCCAAGGAAATCTGGTTTATTGGGAGTTAGCTTTCACTGAAAGTGAGAACAGATAAAGATAAAACTGAAAATGTGTTGTTGCTTATGACTCCAATTTGGCAGGTGAAACATTGCATTTGGACAGCACAGAACACCAGCAGGCTGCTTTGTTCCAGATAAGCCAGAATTCTAAAGATCAGTGGTTTATTGTTTCATCTCAGCATGGTCAACGGTTTTAGATGTTACGATTTTGTTTTGCATGTAGCAGCTGTATCTCAGCACTGCCAGCAGCAACTATACCTTGATAAACTGTGAATAAACTATGGATGTGATAAATCAGATCTCAGTGTACCAGATTAACCACAGTCTAGAGCAGTGGTCCCCAACCTTGGCCCTCCAGATGTTCTTGGACTTCAACTCCCAGAAATCTTGGCCAGCAGAGGTGGTGGTGAAGGCTTCTGGGAGCTGTAGTCTAAGAACATCTGGAGGGCCGAAGTTGGACACCCCTGGTCTAGAGTAATAACCATCTGGAGGGCCAAAGTTGGACACCCCTGGTCTAGAGTAATATTACAGGAAGATGCCTGCCCAGCGCCAGTAACCTGCTTGCCTGACATTGAGAATCCAGCTGAGAGGAGCTGTGGCAGTACAGGTGGGAAACTATTTCTGAGCAGGTACCATCCTGCCCACCTGATCCAGGCACTAAGCCTGGTGCTCCTCCTTCTGCCTCTGGTGCCACTGGTCGTCCTCTCCACTCCTGTTTCACCCCTCCTGCCAGTAAGACCAATTTACTCTCACAGAGGGGTTTAGATATGAAAAAAAAAAAAAAAAAAAAAAAGGGTTTGGCAAGCTATTTAAAATAAACAACCCTCTGGGAGAAGAGTGTTTTAGGTCGCTTTCACAAAAAAGCATGCTTCCCTGGCAAAATAACCCATGTTTACATTGTCATGGAGACACCTTATTTTAAATCATTTTGTTTTTAAAAGCAGAACCCGATTCTTATTGCCAGTGGCATCAGGCTGAGTCTTCAAAACTATAATCTCTGTTTGGAACTTTACAGCTTCCGGGCCTACAATATATAATCACAATAATTTTTAAAAATTCTGCTTCTCCCCGCATACTAACTTTTCTAAAGCACAGCCCAATAAGGTATTCTGAAGGATTCAAAAGCTCACCTTTCTAAAGATATTTTGGAGCTCTATAAAGTATCATCCAACTCTAATTTTTGACTGTTCCAAAATGTAAGGAACCCATCTGAAGTCTCCAACCGTGTTGGCACACACAATGTCCACTTGCCCAAGATGTTTTTACTTTCAAGGCCACAACTACCTGTTGTAATCCCACTTATCCTAACATACCTTTAGATGCTGAATGTTCATTACTCTTTTTTTCCCCTGAGAGATGGAACTGAAATTTTAACAGCTGCAATCCTTGTGCTAGCTTAATGTAAAATTTTGATAGCAAATCTCTGTAAGTTACAAGGTGCCTATAGACATTCTTTGTGGTGCACTGACCGGCATGATTTGCTAGCTATGCAACAGATACTATCTACACTGATTTTGAAACTTACAGCAATTTGCTGTCACAACACTAGTGACAGGATTTTTCAAAAGATTCAATTTAATCCCAAAACAAATAGTCATGCACAAAAATGATTGCTTGTGTATACAAAACATACAACTCAATGTGAATTCAAACAGGACAAAAATTAATCCCATAAGTTATATGAAGCAAATGGGAAAGCATGCAACAAGGTTTACTGGTCACATCTCAAACTGTCCAAACTTTATTTGGAATTATATTGCTTGATATCAGGGCAGCAGACATCTTCATGAATTATTTCGTAGCATGAAACTCAAAAAGTTATAAAATAATTCAAAATCTTCAAATCTGAGATTTTATAAAATATATTATTTAGTTTTTCGGCACATTGATAATATTTTGCATCAGCATGTACTTATCAGTGCATTCAAATATCTATTTTAGCAAAAGCATGTGTTCTATTATTAGGTATCACACCTATAGCTGAATTTGCAAAATCTGAAACCTATTATATCAGCAAATCCACTAGAACAGGACCTTGCTTTCCAGCTATTTTATTAGTATCTAACATTCCTGCAATGGCAAGAAAGTGGTGTGTGGTAGAATGGCTCATCATATAAGTGGAGCATGGGAATGAGTGGCCATTCAACAAAGATTGCACACAATTTCTTTATACAACACTCACAGAAGACTGAATTTTTATACTGTACTCATCTGGCACACAAGAGCACATACTCTTCTTTATTCAATTACTCTTTAGCCAAGGAAACAATCGTCTCTAAATTGAAGGAAATGTTTGATGCAGTAATGGTGGAAATGAGGCAAATCCAATTTCATGAGGACCAAAGAACTGTACATGTTATAGGAAAAAAAAATTAGAGATACTGTACCAGCATTGATAAGTCATTGAGATTGAACTAGAAACTGCAAAGCTAAACATAAATCCCTTCAAGCACCTGTTCCTTTAGATCTAAGACTGCAATTTAATATTGCAAAAAAAAGATTTGATAAAATAGAACTGTGCAAA